CCTACTATTATTCAGTTGTTAATTTACCATTCTTTACTTCCTGGCAGTTATCTCAGAAAAAAAGTGTCAACTTCGGTTGAAATTTCCAAATTCAAATGACATTGAGTGATTTCTTTTTCCTTTTTTTTTTGTTTTTAATTACAGATTATCAACTTTTTGGTTATTTAAAGCCAGAAAATATTTTTAGATTATGAGAAATTTTTTTAAATAATAATGATTTATTGACACAATTCCTACTAATTAATCCATACCTAGGAGGAGAAGAGGTGGATTCATACCTTTCCCAATGGGCATTTGTGCTTAAACTAATATAATGAACCTGATTGGAATTGGAACTCAGCTCACTGATTAATAATTCCAAGTTATTATCAATTACAGCGCCCACACATCCAAGCTTACAGCACCTGGTATTTGCAAGTGGTCACCCATTTAGGTTCTGACCAGGCTTTGGCAATCGTACAAGAACCAGTGTTTCAATGTGATATGGCCATAAACTCAATTAAAGTTAGAAATATAGTTAGTAGCATGTTGGTTTTGGTGGCAAAACCCCACTCTTGTATTAGAGACAAGGATGGGGAAGAATACAGTCTTAGTGACATTTCCCTCACTGTTAAATCTAATAAAACATTAGGGATCTCTTAAATGTATACGTAGCTCTGGCTACAATGCACATAGAAACACAAAACTCATATTTTCAGTTTTAACTAGATTTTTTTTTGTCTTTGCAATAAAATTTAAAAATAAAGAAAAAACTAAAAAATAATTTAAATTATTTATACAACCTTTATTGCAATATGGTAATTTTCATGAAAAAAAAATCAAGGAAATTAAATTAGCATGTTTTAAGGGTATATTAATTTAATATCTGGCTACAAAGCCCTGTTGCGGACCCCCTGCTGAGTGTATACATAAATCTCACACTATTATTCAGGTGCTCTTGATTTTTTTTAATCACTTCACCTCATATAAGGCCATAAAGACACAAGTGGTTACTGAGTGTAAGAGATAATGAGAAGAAAAAAAACAAACAAACAAAAAAACAAAACAAAACACTATTAAGGAGCAAGAACAGTAACAGGAATTAAGAAAAAATAACAATTGACATTGAAGATCAAAGTTGACTTGGAAGGAAGAAGCTGTAAGAGAGTTCCACAATCGAGAAGTGTGAGAGAAGAAACTGTTAGCATAGAACTTATGGTTACATCTAGTCATTTCAACTGTACATTGATGGAAGCTTGCTACCAAAACCTCTTGATTTTCTTTTGTATTCTTTAAGTTAGCACATTTTAATTTAATATCTCTGGCTACAATGCACCATTTTGGCTAATTTGAGGTTATATACAGACATACAAAACCAGACTTTTAGCATTATATAACTAATAATTACTAGAAACATTAAAAATTAAAGTTGGGATGTTGTAAGTTAAGAGAAGTCCAGAGGTAAGAAAAGAGGCAATTCTGTTAATTGTTACCTTTATTCTATCAGATTACTCCTATGTTATGATACTCAACACATGTATTGGTTCATCAGGGATAAAGACATGAGAATTCTTGAGAATATTCTGATTTATTTAAAACTAATGCAGTATTACTGTTAAACCATTTGAGATGCATGATGAAAGTTGAGTCTTTGAATATCCTCTCTGAAATTCATACACCTGACACTGGATTAAATTGCAGTCATGGATTAAAATAATTCTGGACACAAAGTTTTTGGAAAGAAATTTAAAAAAAAAAAAGGAGTCCCTGATTCCAAACAGTAAAGACTGTAGTTAGAATTCTCAAGAAGGTAAGGAAGAGTTAATGATTGTGAACACATACCAAGAGATAAAAATTAAGAGCTACATGCACGAATGGGCAGCAGCAGCAGCAGCAGCAGCAGTGTCAACAGCAGACAGGCAGGCAGGCAGGTAAGCAGACAGGTGGACAGGTAATATGGTCAGCAGTTAAAGGGATAAAAAGGAAGTACAGGTTGTGTGATGCAGTTTCAGCACCATTGCTGCAACAGAAACAAAATGGGTGAATTAGAGAGAGACATGCCGGGAGAGAGGTTAAAAAAAGAAGATGGTTAATAATAAGAAAGAGTAGAAGAAAAAGAAAAAGATCAGCAAAAAAAAAAGAAAAAAAAAGACTAGTGAAGAGAGAGAAAGGAAGAGAAGAAAAAGATTGAAAGAAGAGAGAGGAAAAAGGTCGTTGGGGGCACAAAGAAGAAAAAGAGATGATGAAAATAACAGCAGAGACAGACAGAAGACAAAGATCAATAAGGGAGAAAGAGGAAAAAAGAGATAGAAAAGAAAATAAATTAGGCGAGACAGATAATTTGGAGAGAGAGAGAGAGAGAGAGAGAGAGAGAGAGAGAGAGAGAGAGAAATCTAGTACAGAGAGAGAGAGAGAGATGAGGGAAAAAAATCAGTGAGAAGGTGAGAAGAAAAGACAGAAAGAAAGAAACAGAGAGGGAGAGTAAAAAGATTGAATTGAAGAAAGAACTAAAGAAGGAGAAAGAGAAAAAAAGGAGATTGAAGAAGATAGAATAGAGAAAGATAATCGAAGTGGAGAGAGAGATAGAAAGAAATCAGTTTAGGAAGAGAAAGAAGAGAAATTTATCAATAGAGAGAAATGAAAGCAGTCAAAGAGAAAGAGCGGAAAAGACGCCATTAGAAAGTAAAAGAAAAGTAAAAGATATTTTAAGAAAATATATCGAGAGAGAGAGAGAGAGAGAGGAGAAGGATTTAATCAGAGACAGGGAAAGATCTGTAGGAGAGACAGAAAGGAGAGAGAGGGAGACGGAATATGTGAGTGGGGAGAGAGAAAGATGAAATGGATTAGTAGTGACAAATAGATGTAAAAAATCAGTGGAAAGAAAATGAGGAAAATGAATTGAGAGGGTGAGACACAGAGAGAGGGGAAAGGATCCAACTGAAGAAAAGGGATCGAAAAGAGAAATATTTGTTGGGTGGGAGAGGAATAGAGACCGTGAGAGAGAAAAAGAGTGTAAGAATTAGTGATAAGGAGGAGGAGAGAGAAGGAGAAGATCAGGTGAAAGAGAAAGAGATCAGTTGAGAGAAAGGAAGAAATATTCAGGGAGAAGGAAGAGAGAGAGAGAGAGAGCTCAGTGATGAATGGATGAAAATAGATATGTGGATAGAAAGGAAAGAAAAAGATATGAGAGAAAAATGACGTACAAGGAATGAGAAAAAAAAGAGAGAGAGATGGCAGAAGGGTGATGAGAATATTATGTGATAAAAACAGAGTAACTCAGAAACAGAGAAAAAAGAATAAAAGAGACTGTGTATGAAAGAAAGAGCAAAGGAGGAGAGAGAAAGAGAGAGAGGGAAAGAAGGGAATGTGATAGAAGACAGAGAATGTTACAGAAGCAGATTATGAGAGAAAAATTTATGATAGAAAACATGTCAGAAATTTATGGCCAAAACAGAGAGAGAGAGAGAGAGAGAGAGAGAGAGAATGAAAAACAGAATGAGAGAGAGAGAGAAAGAATGAGAAACAGAAAGAATGAGAAACAGAATGAGAGAGAGAGAGAAAGAATGAGAAACAGAAAGAATGAGAAACAGAATAAGAGAGAGAGAGAGAGAGAGAGAAAGAAAGAAAGAATGAGAAACAGAAACAGAAAGAATGAAAAACAGTAAAAGAAAAAGAGAGAGAATGAGTAACAGAATAAGAGAGAGAGAGAAAGAATGAGAAACAGAAAGAATGAAAAACAGAAAAAAAAAAGAGAGAGAATGAAACAGAATAAGAGAGAAACAAGAATGAAAACAGAATGAATGAAAACAGAATAAGAGAGAGAGAGAGAAAGAATGAGAAACAGAAAGAATGAGAAACAGAATAAGAGAGAGAGAGAGAGAAACAGAAAGAATGAAAACAGAAAATGAAAGAAATGAGAAACAGAAACAAAAAGAATGAGAAAAAAACAGAAAGAATGAAAAACAGTAAAAGAAAAAGAGAGAGAATGAGTAACAGAAAAGAGAGAGAGAGAGAGAGAGAGAGAAAGAGAGAGAAGGAATGATAAAGGAAAATAAAATTAGGATAGCAAAAAATGGCAAGAAGAAATAGAAAAATAAACAAATGAAAGAGTTGGGAGAGCAATCAAAAAAAAATCACATTTAGATTAAAAAAAAAAAAAAAAAAAAAAAAAAAAAAAAAAATTTACAATGATCAATTGGAAATAAAACTGTTGAGAAATCGGAGCTGAAATAAAGTCAACATTTGACAAAGCCGGGAGAATCCCCAGAACAATTTCCATGCTTCTTTCTTCTTTGCATGTGGAAAAAGAGAGACATGGAAATAAAAGACAAGACAAAACGCATGTGTCACAAATCACAAATTTGCTACAAAAACAACAATTGTTGCAGGACATAGGTAATAAAAGGAATGTGTGAGTGTCATAATGAGGAACAAAACTGTACATGTAATGGGAAGAAATGGTAAAAAGCAAATAGATAAATAAAATAAATGCAAAAGACAAAGAAATGCAAACAAATGAAGGTGGCATTGGAAAAAAAAAAAAAAAAAAAACGCACCTCAAGTTTGTACAAAGCTTATTGGCAAAGACACTAAGCAGAACAATGTGGTTGTGGTGGTGCTTATCTTGGGAAGAATTCTTGGAGAGTCCTTATCTTTTACAGCAGCTATGGAAAAAAAAAATTCCGAAAAGGAAGGAAATCATCTTTTATGACTATATTTGGCAGGGGGTGGAGAGAATTTGTGCTTTGGCAGTAGGTAGAAGTGGGTGGAGAAGTTATAATAAATGGCTTCAATTATTACTTATCATTGTAGCATATTACATAGATTATGAAATGTAAGGAAATGGATTATAGTTGTCTTGTCTTTTGTTTTGTAGCTGTTGTTAATAATAATAATAAATAATAATAATAATGATAATAATAAAAGATTTACACAAAGTAAAACATTTTTGTTTAACAGAAATTTATTTGTAATTTCTTTTTTCTTTTAAAAACAGGCAAGATAATTCTTGTTTTATCTCGTCATTTGTTGTTATGTTGACAGTAAATAGGAGAAAGAGAGAACATAGACATAGACTGAAGGAGTAGGAATAAAAAAAGAGAGGGTAAGATGGGACCTTGGAAGTGAGGAAAAAAAAAAGGAATTGACATGAGAAGAAAGAGTGGGAGAGAAAGGGGTGACAAGGCGAGAGAAGATGCAAAAGAGATGTTAAAAAGTGGGAGGACAAGAAGAAAAAAAAGAGACATAGATAAAAAATATAAAAGGGAAAGGAGGTGATTATATATATATATATATATATATATATATATAAATAAACAAAATTGTGAGAGAAGGAGACAGAAAAAGAGGTTAAAAGAGAAAGAAAAAAAAAGAAGATCCAAACAGAAATGGAAAAGGAGAAAGAAAGAAAGAAAAGGGAGAAAGAGAAAAAAAAAGAAAGAAAGAAAAGGGAGAAAGAAAAAAAAAAAAAGAAAGAAAAGGAGAAAGAAAAAAAAAAAAAAAAAGGAAAAAGAAAAAAAAAAGAAAGAAAAGGAGAAAAGAAAAAGAAAGAAAGAAAAAAAGGAAAAAAAAAAAAAAAAAAGAAAGAAAAGGGAGAAAGAAAAAAAAAAGAAAGAAAAGGGAGAAAGAAAAAGAAAGAAAGAAAAGGGAGAAAGAAAAGAAAGATAGAAAGAAAAGGGAGAAAGAAAAAAGAAGGAAAAGGGAGAAAGAAAAAAGGGAAGGAAAAGGGAGAAAGAAAAAAAAGAAGAGAAGAAGAGATGAAGTAAGACTTGCAAAGTAAAGTTGAGTTTATTTTGAGTAACTAAATACAAGTTCAGAATATATCAATAGACATTCAGGTTTTTTTGCCACAATGTCCAGCAATATCTCTTTCGCCAACAAAATCAAACAATATTTTTTTGCCTAAAACAGAAATTGATGCATCAACTCTAGAATATCAAGGATTTTACATGTGTGCAAAAGCAATAATCATAGAAGGGCTCAAATATTGGGGTTTGGGGGGAAAGTTCTTTAAAATTGACCTGCAGAGTTGACAAATAGGATGATGTATATTGCCACTGGGAAATATGAAAGAAATTCATTTAAAACCTGTTACTGGTACATTCAATCTTAATCCAAACATGTTTATACATTTTTTTTTTTAAATACCACATCCCTTCAGGATATATATGCAAACATATCTCTTCATGAACGTCTTTTTTTCTTTATAACCTATGAACTGCTATGATTTCTTGGAAAAGTTAGGGAAGTGTTTTTCATTGCATTCTCTATAGTTTTGAATTCAGAGTTGTTCTTTTCCTAGACTGGCTGACATCCAAGACTAGAAAGCCCAGTTTGTTCTATTTAACCAACAGCTGGAGGGAGAAAAGATGAGTCTTTCCCAGGAGCATTAGTGTGAAAGAGAATGCAACCAACTAGACCTTTTCCTAGACTGGCTGCCACCCAAGACTAGATAGGTCAGTTTGCCCTGCTATTTAACCTGTAGCTGGAGTGGGAAGAGATTTGTTCAAGTCTTTTCTAAGGACATCAGGGTTCAAAAAATAGAAGGAGAAAAGAAAGTGAGAAAAAACAATAGGAGAGAGTAGAAAGAAAGAGAAAAAATATAAAAGAAAAAGGCAGAGATAGGAAAAAGAAAAATATAAAGTGTGAGATACAGAAAATAGAGAGTGTGAAAGAAAGAAAGAAAGAAAGAGAAAAATTAGAGAGTGAAAGTCTGAGAAAAGAGAGTAGAAGGAAGAGAAAAAGAGAGTGAAAGGAAAAGAAAAAGGAGAGTGAAAGGAAGAGAAAAGGGAGTGAAAAGAGAAAAGGGAGAGTGAAAGGAAGAGAAAAGAGAGAGTGAAAGGAAGAGAAAAGGGAGAGTGAAAGGAAGAGAAAAGGGAGAGTGAAAGGAAGAGAAAAGGGAGAGTGAAAAGAAGAGAAAAGGGAGAGTGAAAAGAAGAGAAAAGGGAGAGTGAAAGGAAGAGAAAAGGGAGAGTGAAAAGAAGAGAAAAGAGAGAGTGAAAAGAAGAGAAAAGGGAGAGTGAAAAGAAGAGAAAAGGGAGAGTGAAAAGTAGAGAAAAGGAGTGAAACGAATAAAAAAAAAAAGCAAAAGATCAAAAAAGACAGAACTAAAAAAAAATGAGAAATTGAATGCAAGAAAAAGAAATGAGTGGAAAGAGATAGAGAAAGAAAAGAATAAGTTGAATCAAAGTGCTTTGATCTAACAAATAAATTTTTTTCTTTTGTTAGAGATGAAAGAGTCGTAGTTGCAGACGCAAACCAGAAACTAAAAAGCAAGTTCGAATGGCGCAATCACCAAACTGAATAACAATTAAATCCAAGAGCCATAAAACTGTCAGAGTTCAATGAATAAACATCCTCTGGGGCTGCACTCTGGTTCCTTCTATATAGTGTCCCAGCCCCAGCATTCTCATGTCTTTTTGTGCACTTCTGGCTATTTTTCACTGCACAGATGGAATGTACCATGGAGATGCAAAATACAACTTAAGCATTATTGTATGAATGACCTTAACAATGTCCTTATGACTATGTTTCTCACTGATTGGATCAAGTCTGTGACGTGTGAAATGCATAACTGGCATCCCAACAGGACCTCTACTCGCTTTTCTTACAAACCAATGGACATAATGGAATAAGCAAAGATTTTTAATTCTTCTTAAATGTGCCATTTCCCTTCAGGTTGTAGGCGCTCATGGCTCTCCACAACTTTTATATGTAGTAGCTATTAACAGTGGATCAGATAGTGGTTTCCCCTACAAAAAGGGATTCAGGTTCAAACCCTGCTAGAGAGAGTACATTTTCTTTATTAAGTCTTTTAAATGAAGTAATTATATATATATATATATATATATATATATATATATATATATATATATATATTTACACACACACACACACACACACACACACACACACATACACACACAATTACCTCCTGCACCAAACATTTGTGGATACTACCCTCATTTGAGTAGACACCTCATTTTTATAAGCAGTGTAAATTATATCTAACGCCTAGTATTACACACACACACACACACTGACAATTGGAAAAACGTTCATGAAAGTATAAGGTTTCGAAAAAACATCAGCCTATGCATTTCACTGATTAGGCTTCATCAGATCGAAGGCGAAAAAATGAGTTGCATGTGTATGCATTCATGTGTGTTTAAAATAATGAAATCTTATATTTTTACCAAGCTGGCATTGCTCATGACTTAAAAAAAAGAAAAGAAAAGAAAATGATTTTTTAAAAAATTGCTTAACATTTTATGTTCTTTGCTTTAAGTGTCTGAGTTTAGAGACAAGATCCCTCAGAATGGGCAGAAAATAAATGAAAGATTTGTTGAATAAATATAAGATTTCATTACGGGAATTGGACAATTTTGGGATAGATTTTATCTTGTAGTTGTGAAATTATATATATATATATATATATATATATATATTAGAGCTGTTGTTGCCTATTGCATAAAAAAAACAAAACCATAACAAAAAAGAAACACTTTTTTGTTTTATATATATATATATATATATATAAAACTATATTATATATATATATATATATATATAGTTTTTTATATATATATATATATATATATATACTTTCCTCAGATCTGATAAGGTAAATTAATTTATTGCCCTCTTATTCTCAAAAGTCCCAACACATTTTCCTTACAAACAGCTTTGTCTTTCATTCTGATCTGAATTATCTGAGACCAACAAACATTGGTGAAATGCTGCATTTATAAGCTTTTCCACTTTGTCTTCATCATCTTCACTTTTGTTTCAGATATGTGTGTATGTGTGTGCATGAATATGTTTATCTTTCTTGTTAATCTATTACAAGTGAATTTGATCCTAAAATAATATGCTCTAAAATTTAGTCCTCTCTTGCAATTATCTACAACAAAGCAAAATATATAAACTGTACTTATAGGCTGCAATTGTTAACATCATTGCAACTTATGACGGTCTAAACTCTAACAAACCCTGCCCCACAACCCTGTCCTCCAATAAGACATGGCTCCCACTTGACCCCTTAGTGTCATCCATCAGTCAAACTGTCCCCGATTGTTCCAATGAGTGTTGTCATTATTCCTTTCAGCATAATTTGATTTCTTCTAATTAATTACAGACTAATTAGTTACACAATTAGCTAGTGCATTATGAGGGCTACCAACCATCTGCCTCCAAAGAAAAGAGCTTTTAATAGGGCTGCAATCACAGAACACAAGTTGTAAGTGTCAGTTCTTTTAGGCATCAACATTTTTAAGGGTTAGCAATAATAGAGAGAGAGAGAGAGAGAGAGAGAGAGCCATTAGTTGGTATGACTAACCAAGCATCATGAGGCTGCCATTTTCACAGAATTAAAAAATCAGCCTTCTAAATATTTTATAGCTAAAAAAAAATATCTCTTCTTTTATGTAGTCATTTCCCTTCAGAATATGAATGATCATGACTCTTCACAACTTCCTATCTTTTGTTGCCCTAAGTAACTTTCGACCATTTTTCATGGCTCTTTGTTCTTCCATGTATTCGTTAAATAGATTACTAAATCTTCTTCAATTCTCTTGCCTTCAAGATATTCTGCAAGTTTTAGATTCTTCCAAGACTTTTGATCAAATTCTGCATTTTATGATTGAATATCAATGAAATTACAAAGACTGACCATATTAAATCATCAAGTGAAATATTTGAATGGCAGTAGTGTTGTATAATAGGCACTGTTTATTTTTCAAATTTATCTTTTGTATCACTATACAAGCAAGTCAGATAATATATATATATATATATATATATATATATATATATATATATATTGAAATGGCTAGATGTAACTGTAAGTTTAATGCTAACAGCTTTTATCGCATTTCTCACTTGTGGAACTCTCTTCCGGCTTCTTGCTTTTGAGTCAACTTTAGTACCGATACTTTATGAATTTAATCATACAACTAGATTGGCAGCAATGTGTCATCATTTTATAGTTGAAATAGTTACATGTAATTGCAAGTTCTATGCTAACAGTTTCTTCTCTCGCACTGCTCACTTGTGGAACACTCTTCTAGCTTTTTTGCTTTCCAGTAACTTTGATCCTCCAAAATTTAAATGCAATATCAATTGTTACTTTGTCTTCCTGTTCATTTAATTGCTCTCTCTCTCTCTCTCTCCTTAATAGTATTTTTTTATTCTCTCACACTTTATTAACACCTTGCATCTTAGTGGCTTTATTGCCTTGCATGCAGTGAAATAATTAAAATATATATGCGCATATGTTTCATTAAAAATAAAAATTGATTACCTCTTTAAAAATTACTTTTTTTTACGTTTTGGACATGAAACTGAGTAGATATGGATTTCAATAAAAATCTGAATGAGGAGGTGTTGCTTTAAAGGAAGTAGAACTGTGCTTGGCTTGTGAGGCTCCCTGTAGCCAATCAGTGTAAAGCACCCCAGATCAGATGTTATTTTTCTACATAATGCCAACCATGACAGAGATGACATATCACCAACAGAAAAGAGAAAATATCTGAAAAGTTTTCAAGATGGAAAAGAGGTTGTATTTGCATTGATCTGGCAGTTTCACTCTGTGACAGAAAACCAACAAATCTCTGATGGCATTGTGAGTTACAATCAGGAACATGATGCTTTGGATACAAAACATATCTGATTCCAGAGTCATCATTAGATGTAAGATTTGTTGGTGGCACACCTGATAATTTGTGTGGGGACATATTGGAGTCTTTTCAATGAGTCCCATACGAAAGAGCAGGGACAGAGGGAAAGTGGGAGTAACCTACCAAACAAGCTTGTGTAAATGGATGTCAGAACAGAGAGTGGGAAGGACAGTAAAAAAAAGCAAATATTGCTAAGAACTACAAAGAAGCGAAAGTTGTGGAGAGTCATAACCTCTGGCATTCTAAAAAGACATTGCACATAAAAGTAGATGGAATGAACTCCCAAGAGGATGCTTCCCTGATCACTATGATCTTGACCTCTTCAAATCTAGAGTCAACCATTATTTATCCAACATAATATAATATGCACTTTTTACTTTCTCCTTTTACACCCTTACTATCTTATTCAATAACCTTCTACTTTGAGTGGCTCTTGAACCTTGTATTGGGTGATCAATAGTATAAAAGAAAAGCAATTGCATGCAGTTGACAGCAAAGAAAACAGAATCAGCAATCTGAGATCAAATCCTGGCTGCAGCGGTTTGTCATCACATTGCTTTACTGGCCTCAAGAAAGGGTTAAATATTAGAGCAGACTGAGCCCTCTAACCTTGGTTGGCAGCCAGTCTATGAGAAAGTTGGAGAAGAAAAAACAAATCATCTTTTCCAATGAGAAACAAGGCAACAAGCATTTTACAGACATTAAAGAAAAGGAAGCTGTGGAGACACGCAATCAATTCTATCTAGACTGAATATATCAACAATAAAAATATCCATTATGTTTTTTGTTTTTTCATAGTATATTGCTCAAGAAATAAATGATTAAATTCTTGTGTACAATCATTTTATTTCAGGTCACCCTATGAGCCCTACTGGTACTGTGTAACCCAGTATGACTTGCTGCATGATTGATCATCAGTAACTAAACCAGTTCACCCACCAGGCTTTTCTGGTGAAGTAGGTGGCTAGACACTCAGCAAGATTATCTAATTGATCAAGTGATTGATTTTGTCTTATGGCTTATCAACCATTTTGGGAATAATAATAATAATAATAATAATAATAATAATAATAATACTAAACCAAAGAATTCTTGAAAAAAGAAAATTGTGATTAAAAAATATAAAAAAGTAAAAAAGGACAAATAAAAAAATTGTAATATTAAAAAAATAAAAAAAATAAATGAGATATTAAAATATTAAAACAAAAATAAAAATTTTAAAAAATTCAAAAACTATTGTAAATATTTATAAGTATCTTGTTTATAGTTATTGACACCATACAGGAGAAAAGGGGAGGGAAATGAGTGCATTCATCCATTCAATTGATATAGGTTTTAGTCCCAATCACACAGGAATAATAGCTAAGAACATCCCTGTCTCCCAATTTATAGACAAATCTGACAGTTGCATGCTGGGATTTCTTCCTAACCAATAAAAATAGACCAATTCTTGGTCCCATCTCCATATTTTTGTTTTTTCTTGTCTAGAAGTCAGAATGCTATAACCACTTGACTGTATCCCTTTTGCATGTGAACATAATTCTTATTTTGTAAACTTTTTACCTTATTACTGTTGCTTTGCCTAGTTTTGTCTTGCATATATATTATTTACTTAGTATTATTTTACTCTATTTTTCCTTTTCTTATTGTTTTTTTGAGAACTTTGTCAATTCTGTTTGAGCATTTTGCTGATTACACTTCACCATGGCCGATTATTCCAGTTATTTAAAGCCCAAACATTTTTAAATTGTATAAGAATAATTCTTTTGTTTGTGAGTGTATATTATATAATCAGTTTTGAGAATAAATATAATAACAATATAGTTTGACCTACTATTTAACCCATAGATAGAGGAGAATAGGTAGATTCATACTTTTCCTAGAAGTATTTGTGTTTAAGTGACTGTAGCAAACTCAACTGGAATTTGAACTCAGCTCTCTAGTTACCCGTTCTAATCCATTACACCACCTGCACATTCTCTAACAGGAATAAAAATAAAACTTGTCAAAGAACAGGTTACTGGTTAATGGCCATCTATCACAATGTTGTAGATGGAGCTAAATTGCGATGTATGCAGCCATTGCAATGACGACACAGTATTTCTGGGTGGAAAGTTCACCCAATAATATCAACGACCACTTACCTGTGACCAAGGTGAACCTTCAAGTTGGAAGACATTGACTGTAGTTTGACCTGGAGAGGAATAAGCTCCACCCGGTCTATTTACCAAAGAGACACTATGCTTGAGTGAATACCCCTCCGGCTTTTAACCCAGATATGTGGAACTGGTCAGGTACTAAGCTGTGCAGAAACCATATGAGGACATCCAGTCATGGGACTTACAATGATGATTATGAAACAGTTTATATCATCTGACAGTTTTCTTTGAATACTGGGTGTCAAGCCACCATCTCCAGAAAAGTCTGGTGAGGGAACCAGTATGATCCCCCTGACCATGTGGCAGGTAATCACTGACTGAATTAATCAATCACAGAAAATATTTACATATACGAATAAAGAAAGTTTTTACAAATGTGTCCCAGCAGGATGTGGGTGCTTATGGCTCACCACAGCTTCCTGTCATATGTAACTAAGCAGCATTTGCCCTCTTACCAACCCTCCCAGTCCCTGTTATGCCATCCATTTAGATGAACTCATTAGGTAGGTTGTTTACTCCCCCACCTCTACTTCTCTTGAATTTGATATGTTCTGTGAGTGTCAAATTCTCATAACCTTCCTTCTTCATTATGTGTTATAGAAATTTCAACTGCTTTCTTATTATACTGTAAGTATAAGTGTCATATTTGTTTTCATTTTCCTTAAAACTTCCTCATTGTTCACATGTTCTGTCCATGGTATTCTCAGCATCCAACTGCAGAACCACATCTCTGTTGCTTCAAGTTTTCTCTTCATCTGTAAGATTGTTCAATATTCATTGCAATATACTAAAAATGATATTACCCAGCAGTTCAGCAATTTTTTCTTTGTTTCTAATGAAATTTTCTTATTCCTTAATACTTTGTTTAGCTTCTGGAAGGTTTCTTTCTCTATTCCAATGTGCCTTTAGATTTCTGCAACATATTTTCTGTTTTTTTTAGTCTTTTCACCCCCAAGCAAGATGGGAGTGCAACTAGCATGCAAGGGGTTACAGAGAGTGGGAGCAAGAATAAAGAGGCATGATAGAGGAAAGGATGAAGAGAAGGACAGGGAATAGATGTCAATTGACATTGCATTTGAATAGTTGGAGATTATAGCTATCAGGGAAGCAAGTAAAAGGAAGGGAGTTACACAGATGGGAAGTGCGAGATATGAAGCTATTGGAGTAGAAGAGGCAGCTACATTTAACCATTTCGACAGTGAACATTACCCAAATAGTTAAATTTATGTACTGGTTTGATTTTGAAGTCTTCACTGCTGACAATCATACAGTATGTCTTCTTGTAGTTAATAGTTATTCCTTTCTTCTTGTTTTCCTTTACTAGCTTGTTTAGGAAATAAGTGATATATATCTTTTGTCTGTCATTTAATGTCAGCATTTGGCATTATACATTTATATAAAGAACTTTCAGTTATGAAACATGTTAAATATGTATAAATAATCTTTACTGATCAGTATTAACTATTAAATATTAACCTAATAACTCTTGTCATGTTCTTAAACAGCCTTGTCAGATTTACACTCTCATGTGGATATCATGTATGGCACCCAACTTGTTCAGAAATATCTCAACTATTAACTACAAACAACCGTTTTCTCAGATTAATGATTAAAAATAGCTTCAAATGAATAAATCCTTGAGGTCTTAAATCAGACAACCCTTCATTAGATCTCATAGTTTGGTACTACAAAATCAAAAACAAAGAACTTTACCAAATATCAAAAACCATATCATTTGAAGACTTTCAACAGCAGCAGTAACTGAAGTGATAGCATATGTAGCTTAAAGGGAAAGTAATGATATAATCAAGATGCTGACATTCTGCATGACCTTATGCAAGAAGTTAGGATGGAAACTGCTAACAATACTAGAAAGAACAATAACAGTGGGTGTAAGAAGCATATTTTGATGAAAAGAGAAAGATTTTATAAATTTTAACCCAAAATAATGCTAACTGTTCAATCAATGAATGCTTAATGTTTCCTTATAAGGAAACAGATAATATTACCATTAGAGATGAAGAGAACATATACTACACTTTGATTTTTCCTAGCACAAGGGCCAGTAGCATAGAATACAGGGTTAGATTATTTTCATTCTGCTGTCCTTGCCCAGGGATAATTTTTTTTTAATTACTGCTCAGCTATTGCTGGTACAGTTTCGACTGAATCTTTACTACCCAGCCCAGAGATTGAACTCACATTTACTTCTTTATTACTGCTCACTTATTGCTAGTCTTGTTTCCACTGAGTCTAAGTCTGTACTACTCAGGTTAGGGATTGAACTCATAATTAATATGCAAATGTTATTGACAGAATGGAGCTTTTTTTTGCTATGTTCAAAATACAAAGATTGTAGGATTTTTAAAAGAAATTATCTTAAAATATATTACAGATTCACAGAACGAAGCAATAATTTCCTTTGTTTGGCTTCACGCTAAGTAGAAATACTTCTTCAATTTTTTAACTTCTATAAATTTCATAGTTATTCAGATATTGTGTATTGTTTATATATGGGGAAAGTTTTTTTTTTTAAACAGAATCTAAAACTGTCCCAAAGTTCTTTTAAACACACATGAAAAAAGTCTTTGGCAAATTTATGACTGGAATCCTATAAGCCATACAGAAACAATAAATGCTTTGAGTCTTTGTGACAAAATAAACCACCAAAGGGTGAAAAGAGTACAAGAATTTCCAAAGTTTATGGCAAACGGATGAGAGACGTCTGGATGGCATGAAAGGCAGCCATGATGGTTGGATTAACAACACAATGGTTACAATAATGCAGAAGGGCTATTTAATCAGAGGGAATTAAATTGATAAATGATGTGTGGACACAGATGGGAGAGTGACGGAAAGGCGAAAGAGAGATCTGAAGAAAGAAATTTTGGCTTGGTTCAGTGGGGTGGGGCGGAGGAAAGTAAAAATGGAAAGAAAAAAGTGTTGGGGAATGAAAAGAAAGAAAGAGAAGGAAAAGAATAGGAAAAAGCAGTTGGAGAAAAGGAAATGGTGAATTTAAGGATAAAAGGAAAAGAAAAAATGTGATAGAAAGAATTATGTAGGGAGAGAGAGAGAGAGAGAGAGGAGAGAAAAGAGGGAAGTTGTGGAAGAGAGGTAAAGTTGCAAAACAGAGAAAAAAGGATAGAAAGAGAGGTGAAAGAAAAGGAATAGGAAAAAAGAGTGGAAGGTAAACAAAATAAGAGAACGAGAGGAGGAATAAAAAGAAAAGAAAATGAGAGAAAGAAACAGGGAAAAGGAGTTAGAGAAAGATAAAAACAGAGTAAAAGGAGAGAAAAATAGGAATGAGAGTAGGTGAGGAAGAAAGAGAAAAGATAGAAAGAAAGAGAGAATGGGAGATAGAGAGAGAGGGGGTAGAAAGAACAAGAAGTTGTGAAAAAATGAGGGAACAACAAACAGAGAGAGAGAGAGAGTTGAAAGTGAAACAAAAAAGGGAGAAAGAGAAAACAAAATGGTTGGTGAACCAACCATTTCGTTTTCTCCTTCTCCCTTTTAAAGAAGAGTAAAAGGAAAAGAAAGAATACGTAAAAAAAAAAAAAAAAAAAAAAAAAAAAGTAAAAAGAAGAAAACAGTAACAGAGATAAAGATAGAGAAAGATAAATAAAGAGTGGGGAAATAAAGACTGAAAGATAATAAAAGGAAGTGGTCACTGTTCCTTGTATGTCTGTCTATTGTATAATCAATCCTTCTAGCTCCTCTTCCCATTTCATAACCAAACTGCATTCAAAATTGATGAATATATTTTATCATATTTGAGAGATAACACCAAAACTAAAACAAAAATTCAATATAATAATTGAGTTGCTACAAAAAAAAAAAAAAGTGTCCCACTAAAAACTTTGTGTAAATCCTAAAGAAGAGGAGGAAGGGGGAGGGGAGAGGATGACACCAACGAAGAGGAGGAGGAGGAAGAGTAGGACACTGACGAAAGAGGAGGACGCCGAAGAACAGGAGGAGGAAGAAGAAGAGGTAAAGTTGGGAAATTAGTTATTCTCTTTCCAGTATTTCTTGACAATGGCCAATATTTGGTAGATGCAGAGTGCCTGGGCTAGCAAGTAGGGGACAGGGAAGGGCATGGTGGTTTGTGTGAGGGTGACAATAAGAAGAGAAAGGAAGAAGAAACAGAAGTGGGAGAGGGGAAGTAAAAAAAAAAAAAAAGAAAAAAAAAGAAAAGGGTGGAGTAAGCTAGGGAGAGACCGTAGAAGTTGACAGGGACGCGACAGCAAAACGGAGTAAGTTGAATGGGGTCTGAATAAATATAATATTTCTAACCGGCTTGGTATAAATGTAGGTGGTATGTCTGTCCATAGCCACTACCTCAGTTGCAGACAGACAGACAGACAGACTTAAGTGTAAGAGTCTCCTTACCACACCATTTTGGCTTGCATTCTTTGTTAGCCTTCCTTCGTTTTGGTCAAACAACATTATGTAAAACGGAGGGATTTAAGATTTTTTAATAGAGTGAGGGAAACAAAAGTGCGGGACTGGGAGGACAGGTAAGAAAAATGACTGTAGAGAGAAAATTTATTTGGTAAAGAAGGGGGGAGGAAGTAGTGAAAGAGTATGAAAAGAATTATTTAGAAAATTAGGAATAAAAAAAGAAAAAAAAGAAAATAGATGATGAAGGAAAAGAATGAGAATTGATAAAGAGAAAAAAGGAGAAAGTAAAAAAAGGGAGAAATGTTTGAAATTCAAAAGAGATGAAGAAGAATTTAGAAAAGGAATAAATTTTTAAAAATGATAAAAACTAAAAATTGAATTAAAAAATAAGAAAGATTAGTGAAAGAAAGAAAATGAATGGAACAATGAGAAAGAAAATTATATGAAAAATAAGAGAAGTGAATGAAGGTGAAAAAGAGAAATGAATGAAGAAAGTTGAAAACGAGAAGTGAAGGAAGAAAAATGAAAACAAGAAGTGAATGAAGAAAGGTGAAAACAAGAAACTAAAGAAAGAGGCAAAAGAAAGAAGAATTAAAAAGAAAAAAAGACAATAATTAAAATAAGAGAGAAAGAGGAGGATCTATTTTAAGTAAAGAAAGAAGAAAAATAAATAGAAAAAGAGATATAAATAAAGGAGAAAAGAAAGAGGAGTAAAAGAAAAGTGAAGGAAAAGAAAAGATAAAAAGAAAAAAAAAACAAGGAAAAATGGACAGAAAAAAGAATAAAATGAAGAAGAAAAGAGGAAAAGAAAAAAGGCGAATGAAAAGATATTTGTGAAGTAAGTAAAACAAGAAAAATATAAAGAAAAAAGAAAATGAAAGAAAAGGTAGTCAAGGAAAAAAAAAAAAATTGCAAAGGAGAAAAGTTGAAGTCAAAGAAAAAAAAAAAAAGAAGAAAAAATAGTACAAAACATAAAGAAGAAAAAAGAAGAAAGAAATTAAAAAAAATATTGGCAAAAATAGGAGACTGTCAAAAGCTTTAGTAAAAAGAAAATAAGATGAAAAATAAAAGGAAAAGAAATATGGGTAGAAAAGGTAAACGGAAATGAATGAAAAAATGAGAAAGAGAAATGAAAGATAGATTGAGAAAGAAAGGTGAAAAAAATCCAAGTGAAGAAAAACAAAAAAAAATAAATGAGAAAGCAAAAAAATTTGAGAAACGAGTGAAAAAGATGAGAAGTGAACGAAAAAATATGAAAAGAAAAGGAAAGTGAATGAAAAAAGATGAGAAAAGAAAAGTGAATTAAACAAGATGAGAAAAGAAAAGTGAATTTAAAAATATGAGAAAAGAAAAGTGAATTAAAAAAGATGAGAAAACAAGTGACAAGGGAAAGAAACAAATCCAAAACAAGTGATAGGAAAAAATTGAAAATGAGAAGTGAAAGAAAAATGAAGAAAAGAAACACTTGAGAAAGATGAAAAAAAAAAGAAAAAAAATGTGTAAGAGAAAGCTAAAAAGAGAAGTATAAGAAAGAAAGAGAAGAGAAAGAAAAAAGAAATGAGAAATGGAAGTGCACATGAAAAAGTAACAGAAGTAGATAGAAAAAGAAAGATGCAAAAAAAAAAGAAAGAAAGAAAGAAAGAGGGTGTAAGGGAGTGGGAAAAAAAGAAATAAGTTGAAAAGAGAGTATAAAAGGAAAGAGTGAAAAGAAGAGAGAAAAAGTATGAAAGTGGGTGAGAAGAAGAGTAAACAAGGAAAGAGAGTGAAAAGAAGAGACTAAAAAAAGGAAAGAGTGAGAAGAAGAGAGTACAAAAAAGGAAAAAGAAAAGTAAAGGATAAAGAATTCACAGAGTATAAAGAAGCAATATAAAACTGACGCAAACTAACAGATGGTCTGAGCAGGTCAATGCATTAATGAGTGTGTGGGTAGCCAGTCAGGGAGACTGGTCTTTCATTGATGGGTACAGGGGAGGCAAAGAAAAAGGATAAAAAAAAGAAAGAAAGAAAGAGAGAGAGAAAGAGAGAGAGAGAGAGAGAGAGGGAGGAAAGAAGCAAAAACGACTAATATAAAAATGGTGGGAGTGATGCTGCTGCTGCTGCTGCTGCAGCCAGTTATTTGTGGGGGTGGTTAAGGAGGATTGAGGGTCTGGGTTGCAAAGGTGTGTGTGTGTGTGTAGGGGGGGAACCTGCATGTACCAATAGCAGCAGATCAAGAGATTCGGAGGATTGTCATCCCAACATGGAGACAATGAACTCATGATGACGATGACGACATTGTGGTCTACAAACTCAAACAAATATAGATAATTTGTATGATTTCAGTTTACATGTCTTTCTGTCAAAGCTCAGTCTCTCTTTCTCTCTCTCTCTCTCACATACACACACACAATCACATATGGGTATCTGCATATATATGTATTGGTTTGTGATTTGTGAATACAAGTTTTTGTATCAATATATGGTCTTTCCTTAAGTTTTTCTATTTTTTTTTTTTTTAATGAAAAAATATATAGTTTAATTAGGCAGTAATTGTTATTTTAAACAATTTTTAAAGCTTGGACACAGTCTTCATACTGGGAATCTTGATTATCAGTTGCAGGCAGGTTTGTGGAAGATTATTTGCAATTTAGAAAAGAAGATAGTAAAATTTAATACATAGAATGTCTACACATTTCAATAAAACATATCTATATCTATTTAATTAAAAAAAAAGAAAAAGAAAAGAAAAAGAAGACAAATTAACTATTTCTCAAAAAATGGTTATACCAAAAAAAAAAAAAAAATGTCAATGCAAATTCAAGTAATGAAAATAGAGAGCAATTTAAGATAAAACTTTATAAGAAAATTAACCTTTCCGTTACCATGGTTTCACCATATTTCGTGTCTTCAGGCAGTAAGCTAAACTTTCCTTCCCGTCCTTTATTCTTACTGTGTGTGTGTGTGTGTGTGTGCGCGTACACACACACACAAACAAAAATAGTAAGAATAAAACCTACAGCTGAAAATAAGCTAAAAGCTTATAAATATATAAAATAAACCAAAGGCTTAATGCCAAAGTCGACAGAACTTAAATATAGGCTCTGTTGACTAAATATAAGACTTTCTGGTGATGATTGCTGCTACATGAAACTCACTCTTGAGTAATGGATTTTGTTATTGTTAATATAAAAAGTTCAATGGATGAATTGTCTTCTAAGTTACACAAAAATGAAAATAACACCTACATCTCATTTTAACAGACATATTTAGCAAAATTACACAAAAATGTGGTCAGATGTAAAGAGTGATATCATCGCAGAAATTGTCTGACAGCCATGACTGGGTTCTCCTGCTTGTGTGACATGGTGCAGAGTCCTGTTGCCAGACATAGGGTCTTCCAGCAGCCACTCTCTTGACCCAGGGCAGCAGTACTTCCTCAAGGCACTTGATGTAGGCCTCTGTGTTGAGTCTAAAGCCCTCATCAACAAATTAAAGTTTTTTTCTTATCAGAATGATCAGGGCGAGTTTCTCAAGCTGCCATACCTTCACACTCACCATTAGACTCTTTCTGAATCCTCTGCACTGTCTTCAGATTGACATCCAAACACTTTGAAATGTTTGTATTGGAGCATCTGGTGCGAATGCCAAGTAGTACAGCATGCTGTTTCTAAATTTTTGGTGGAGTGTATTGCATCATGGTGCTTTTTTTCTCACAGATGGTGCCCAACTGACCCTACTATACTGTGCAGTAGACAAAATCAAAAACAAACAATGTGTATGTGCAAAATAAATATATAAAATGATGACAATTCACCCATCACACCCTGTATATATTATTGGGGGGAAAAACCATGTTGGTGTGATCACTTGCCAGAAGATCTAACATCTTGGACAAAAAAAAAACAAAAACAAAAACAAAAAAAAATAAACAAACAAGGAAAAAAAGAAAGAAAAACCAAAAGGCAAACACCCACCTACAGAGTAAAGTGCTCATTGTAAAAAAAAAAAAAAAAAAATGTGTGTGTGTAGATCTATGGAATGCCTATGTCTGCATATATAGACAAAGCATACATGATTTTTAAACCATAAAACTATATCACACAGGCACTATACATGAATTTAACTTCAGAACTAACTTTTGATCTGAAATCCCTACTGTATAATGTTCAGTCTATATAATTATAATGGAAAATCATCAGATAAAGCGAACTGACAAGAAGTTATGTAAAGTGTGGATGGAAAATGCAACACCAAATCCAAAGGTGCATCAGAATAGAAAAAGATGCCTTTCAAAGTTAAGTAAAGTATTAAGAAACAGAAAAACTTAATTGGAGATAATGAAAAAAGCACTGAATTATTAGGTAATATTGGTCCTCCAGTGAATGCTGGGCAATCTCCTCACAGATGAAGAAGAGACTTGAGGCAACAGAAATGTGGTTCTACAGAAGGATGTTGAGAATATCATGGAATGAATATGTGAACAATGACAAAATTTTAAGGAAAATGGAAACAAAAAGGACACTTATAGATAGAATAAGAAAAAGACAGTTGAAATTTCTAGAGCACACAATGAGGAAAGACAGCTTAGAAAATTTGATACTCATAGGACTTACTGAAGGCAAGAGGGACAGAGGAAAGCAATGAATACGCTTTTTTTTACAGTATGCTTCACCCTTGACATGGCCCATGGGGGCCACTCAAAGTAGAGGGCTACATTAGGAGGCTATTAGTGTGCATAGGAGTGGAAGATATGGTAAACCCTAGGCCTGAACACATTAAGATTGTAGTGTTTGGGGAAACATCCTGTTGGGAGTTGATTCCATAGGGCAGTGGTTCACAAGAAGAAACTGCTTGAGTGGAACTTACTTCTCACCGATGGAATACAGAGGGAATGTGGGTGGTTTCATACTATGTAAGTGGCATGATGTGTTCTTGCTGTGAAGGTTTGAGTTGGTGGGACTAGAGAATGTAGTTCATCTGAGCACTTTCCATGGATATAGTGGTAGAGTGGTGAGAGGTTTGCCACATCCCACCTATTAGGAAGGATTTGATAATCAAAAAGACCCTTTCAGTGATTCCATAACTGGCCATTGTGCCATACTATGTCGAAGGCCTTTGAGATATCTAATGCTATGGTCCTCAAGGTGTGTTTGTCATTAAGAGCCTCACTGATTCTGTAAGTGAGGGTAGTTAGGATATGAGCAGTGGATTGAGCTGGCCAAAATCCATATTGCTCGTCGCTGAAGAGGTTGTTGTTTTCTAAGTGATCAACGACCTTCTTATTGATTATGGCCACAAAAAGCTTACTTATTATACAGAGAAGACTGTTGGATCTGTACTGGGAAGGAGATTGCACACCCACGTTCTTGAAAACTGGGCATATGCTTGACTCCTACTGGCTTGAGAAAGATTCCTCCTTCAAGCAGTGGTAGAAGAATTTGTTAGGACTTCTGAGTTGATATTCTTAAGAACAACCACTGGAATTTTGTCTGAGCCAGTGGCTTTCTTAGAGTCGAGGCCTTTGATATGTCTAGAGACTTCTTGTGCTGTAATGGTAATATTATTGAGATTGTGCTCAGTGAGACGTGGGAAGTTGGGGAGGGGATGGGCTTTCTTGTTTAATGCTAGAGGCAAAGAGGTTCGCCTTATCAGTTAACAAACTTGTGTAAATGGTTTACATAACAGGGATTAGAAGAGATAGCAAAAAAGACAAATATTGCTAAGAGCTACAAAAAACAGGAAGTTGTGGAGAGCCATGATCGCCCACATCTTGAAGGGACCTGACAGATAAAAGAATATGTGTGTGTGAGGGTGGGTATTTATATTTTTTATTGAATCTTTTTTTATTTATTTATCTGTCATTTTCATCACTCAAAGTTTTAATTTATAGGCTCAAATACAGAAGTACGATACAAGTTGTAATGAACAATAATTAAAAATTCTTACAAAGAGAAGAAAAAAATAACATACGGTTGTTTTAATTCTACAAAATTATTTTTAACTTGTTTATTTAAATCAGGATCATATATATATATATAAAATAATTAAAGAATATCAAACACTTAAAATCCCATAGGTAATAATTTTTATTCCATGAGAGCTCCCTCCCACAAAAAAAAAAGAAAAAAAAAAGGCAGCTCTCAATCTTCAAGACCTACAATGTTGTTGTCAAGATCCCCCCACTCTTTTTTTTTTAAGGGCTCTCATGAAATAAAAATTATTACCTATGGGATTTTATCATCATACTTATTATAAAACCCAGGTTGTGTGTGTGTGTGTGTGTGTGCGCGCGCGCGCGTGTGTGTTCGTTTATATATGGGATCGGATTTTCTACATTTTTCAACCGATTTCAACAAAACTTCACTTTTTTTTTGGCAGGTAGTGTTTCTTATTGTCTTGTACACTTTTTTCTTTATTTTTACATTCAGAATGCTTTAAAAATTCCATTTACAAGACAATTGTTTATAATAAAATTCAATTCAATCGGTAGACTCATAACGATTGAAAACAATGTTTTTGTTTGAGTTTGGGTTTGACCAATTCGTAAAAAAAAACAACAAAACAAACAAACAAAAAAAAACTAATTAAAACATGCGTGTCCGTCAACCTTAAACAATAATCTTTGTCAATTTTATTTTTCAGTCTTTATGATGGTCGATACTTGATCTATCTCTTACTGTTACATCCCCGGGCAACGATGGGCTCTACTGCTAGTGTTTGATATTCTTTAATTAATAATAATTTTGCTCTGTTTTTTGACATAGAGTTCTCCCTGGATCTATATCCTCTTTGAAATTCCAAACAGATTACCATATTGTATCATTACTATATACACACACACACATGTATATAAACACTGTGGAATATAACCTTCCCATGCTATTGCAAGTAGGTTTTCATCAGGTAGAGTTGCTAGTTCCATGTGCAACCAGTTTTGAGTAGTTGTTCTTCTAGACTGGTAATGAACCAAAGCTAGAGAGTACAGTCTGCCCTGCTCTTCACCTTTAGCTAGGGGTAGAAGAAATGGATTTATATCTCTTTCAAGAGTATTTGTGTGAAAGTATATGCAATAGCCTCAGATGGAATTTGATCACAATACACAAATCCGACTTTTCGAAACAATAACTGCTACATGCACGTTCACACACACACACACACACACACAGAGAGGGCGTGATGTATCCTGATTTTTTTCAATGTAGGTCAGAACTCACCTACATAAGCACTGCCTTACGTTTGGGAGCCAATGAAGATCAAAAAGTTTCCCAAAAAATGACATAAATGAGACATATCGAATGTAGCACAATCCAATATGGTATACATATATACATACATACATATGTGCGTCTGTCTGTGGACAGTTTCATACATTAAGCGATAATAAGATCATGTGTCAAATACTGACCAGTCTTTCCTATAAAAATAGCAAATTTTTACCATATATCAGTCAAATGTAGAAGAATATTTAAAATTACCTTAAAAATGTTAAGAATGAAATGTTAACAGGCACTTCAAATTATTGGAATTCTAAACGTTTTTTTTTTTTTTTTTTAAGGTTAACGTTTTTACTGGGCTGAAAGCTGGGAACCCCAAAACTGAGAAATAGCCACATGGATTGATTTTCCGAGCCAAGGTTTAAATAGCAACACAGATCGAATCCACTAGCCTTGATTGAAAACCAGCCTAAGAGAAGGATTACTCTTGAGAGGAAAACAATCTTCTGTATTTACCAAGAAGCCATGACAATTCATAGATATTAAAAGAAAAAGGAATCTGTGGAGAGCAATGACCACTTACATCCTGAAAAGAGATGCTATTAAAAAAAATCATTGTGGCAGAAGAGCTCAAGTTTGAACTGTAGTCAGGGGCATCATATTAACTTAATCACTGTGCATTACATGAAATAAAATTAAATATTAAATTATGATTTTCTTCATACTGTCCCATCCTTAGAGGAAATGCATTAAGTAGGGTTTGATTTATATAGATTAGATTATTTTTTGGTTATGTACCATGCATGATACATGCTTAGGTGATCATATATCTTTTGATACATAACTGACGAGGCAGATTTTTTCCCGTAGTAGGTTACCATTTCTTTCTGCAGTAAAACAGTTGCCATCCAAGGCTATAGAACCCAGTCTGTCCTGCTATTTACTCATATCTGGGGGGAGAAGAAGATTCATACCTTTCCCAAGAGTATTAGCACGTAAGTGAATGTAACTAGAATTTGATAGAAATAGTGTAGAAAATAATATAGTCATTCAAATTAGATGGTATTTACTAGTATACCTTAATAACATAATACAAATATTATCACTGGCATTATTGAAATTAAATTAAAAAAATACTTTTTCTCATAAACTGAGAGAGAGAGAGAGAGAGAGAGAGAGAGAGAGAGAGAGAGAGAGCGAGAGCAAGAGCGAGAGAGACTATGTAGGATAATTTAAGTGAAAAAGTTTCAAATTAGAATATATTTTTATAAAATAAGAATAATGTAATTTTTCTATTTAAATGTAAATAAAATTTAATCATTTAAAATTATTAATATTTTTTTATACAGTTATATGTTTTTCTTGTTCTTAATAGTAAATTCTTCTATCACACACAAAGACAGATAAAAATGTTATATATCTCATATAAACCAATTACATTTATTAAAATAAATTTATATCAGAATATATATGTATATATTATATATATATTGTGATATAAATTTATTTTAAGGTATGCTATATCTATGTGTAAAAGTGCTCAATATCAGTAACAGACTATTTGTAAATATAAGAGTGGACACTGAGGTTAACACCAAGTCTGTGCTATGCTTAAATCCGTATATATATATATATATATATATATATATATATATATATATATATATATATAAAAATAAATAAAATAATAACTACCACCTTTTTTTTTTTTTTTTTTTTTTTACAGAAGGCTATTTCTTCAATAGGCCTGCAGATGGCTTTTGCAAACTGGCCTCACTCAGGCATATCTTTTTACATATTTAAAAAAAAAATATGTTTGTACATGTGAAATGAACATTTATAAATAAATATGCAATTACACATGGACATATATATATATATATATATATATATATATATATATATATATATATATATATACATATATATATATATATATACATACATATAAAGAAACATACAGAATAATGATCCTTATGAAATATATACATATACAAACCAGTAATATAAATGGTATAACTGCCTTTCCTTACAGAAACAGGCTATCTGCTATGTCTTTAATGCTGAGCTGAGTGGTCATTGGCCTGCAGATGACTTTACAAACCAGCCTTGTTCCTACATAACTTTTTACATATGTGACGCCAGAAAGACTTTTGGAGAGACTTGAAAGTGTCTTTCTCCTTATGTACTCTCATGTGCCCCTTCAGCCTGCTGTCAAACCTGCAAATTTTATCACAAAACTTACATAAGGACATCCCTATAGCACTGGCATTATAGTTCTGATTTTCATGTGGCTAGCATATCTGGTACAAGATAGAAACAACATTCCTGTAGATGTTACATAGAAGTTCCAACTGAAAATCTTCTGTGTTCAAGTCTACATCAACTTTCCTAAGAGTTCTTTGCAACTTCAAATTCTCAAACTTTTTGACCTCAAAGCAATTGCAACCATCAAAAACTAGCTTTCTACGACCAAGATGTTTTTCATTGCTCCAAGATGTGCAGTGAAGAGTGAGTTTTGAATTTGATGTAACTTACATTTTTTTCTAAAAAAAAAAAAAGTGGATAAAAAACTTATAAAAATTTTTGGTGCTCATCAAATTCAATGAAACATTATATATTACCTGATGAGGTATTATAACTATTTACACATGGCCCATTAGATAAAAGTGTTGGTTGAGTAATCTAAAAAGTGACTTGACCCAAAGAGTTGTGAGTTCAATACATGGCCACAGCAGACAAAACAAAAACTTGGTGAGTTCAGTTACTAGAGGGAATTAACTGAAACTGAAATATCTGAAAAAAAAAAAAAAAAAAAAAAAAAAAAAGGCATGACATGTGGAATTAGAACAATCTAAACATCCATGAACTAAATAAAAGATTTGGTTCAAAATTTCAAAGTATATCACCTAAAGAAGGTTGGAGAATTGGAGAATAAATGAATATGACAATAAAAGATGACGACAACTGTCTGAAAGATTAAATAGCATATATATATATATATATATATATATATATATATATATATAATAAAAAAAATAAAAGTGAACATAAAGTCAACACTCAGAAGCGACAGTCTGTTTCATGCTAGATGCAATCGTCAGGCCATGAAGTGCTGTTATTTTTCTCGGCTATTTATATATACAGGTCAGTGGTGCATTGTGGGTAGTCTATTTAATATTTAAATAGACACCCACAATGCACCACTGACCCATATATATATAAATAGCCAAGAAAATAACAGCTGTTGTGGCCTGAGGATTGTATCTAGCATGAAACAGACTGCTGCCTCTAAGTGTTGATTCTATATTCACTTTTATATTTACACACGCTCTATCTCTGATATTGAGCACTTTATCCCATGAATATAGCACATCTTAAGACTATATATATATATATATATATATATATATATATATATATATATATATATATATATATATATAGAGAGAGAGAGAGAGAGAGAGAGATAGATAGACAGATGCCCATGATGTAAGAAGAAATTTAATAAAAAGGAAATGAGAGTAAGGGAAATTTTTTCTTTTAAAAAGGAGGCAAAGAAAGTGTTCAGTTTATTTACACCAGGTACATGAAAAATTCTGAAAATTTACACCAGGTACATGAAAAATTCTGAAATTCTGCATGTGGGACAGAAACGGCAGTTTGGGAATAAATAAAAATTATTAAAACATTAAATAAATAAACATCCTCTGTTCTTCAGATAAGAATGGCTCTTGAACTGTGTACTTTCTGTATTTGACATACATACATACACAAATGTAAAAATAAATAAAGTGAATAGATGTGGGTAATAAAGACTAATAAAGAATGTCAATAAATAATTGGAAAAAATGTAGACAAGGAAGGGAAAAAGTGAAATCTAGTTAAATAATACATACAAAGAGGCAAAAGTAACATGGAAGAAAAAACAACTAGCATTAAAAAAAGTCTAAAAATGCCATTTTTATGAAAATGAAGAAAATAAAAGCTAAAAGAAAGATGGCTGAATTTGAGGGATGATGGGAAGGATTTCTGTCCTCTACTTAAAAGATTGTAGAAAGTATTCAAACCATCTGATGACCTCTTTAGGGAGAAGGGTGAGGGAGAAAGGAAGAAGAAAGATGAAAATTAAAAAACAAATGGAGAAAATTTTTTTTATTTTTATTTTTTAAATGAAGGTAAAAAGGAAAAAGTAGGGAAAGGATACAGTTAAATAAAAGATTGTTTTAATCGAACATAGTCTGTACGTGAAATCCGGCATATGTTCCAGGAGGTCAATATTGTAAGATTTTAACTTTTCATTACTTGAGAAGAGGTGTATTGAAGAGTGGGTTTTGAATTTGATGTGCTGTGCAGTGGCTGGATGGAATATTCATGGATGACAGAAGTAAAAGACTTTACTCCCTCCCGCTTGCCCTGTACAAGAGGAAAAGGACAGTAGGCAAAAGAAAAAACAAAAAGATTTTGTGATAAAATAATAAAAAAATAAAGAAATGAAAAATGTTTGGAAATAAGAAATAGTGAAAATTTGCAAGCATCAAAAGAGTAAAAATTTTAATCCACTTTTTTTTTTGGTTTATTTTAAGTTTTGGCTTTATGAAGAAGAGCAAAATAGTAAGAGGAGAGATTTTTAAAGAGGGGGAGGAAAAGAAGAAGAAAAAAAGAAGAGTGAAGCTATATGAATGAAAGAGAAAAATCTATGGTTAAAGAATAAAAAAAAGTAGATAAAGGAAGAATAAAAATAAAATAAAAGGAGATAGTAAGAAAGAGCAAGAGAGAGAGAGAAAGAGAAAGAGAGAAGAGGAACAAGAGGAAACAAGGAAGAGAATAAATGAGTGGGAAACAAGAAAGTGAGAGAAGAAGAGAGAGCAAGAGGGAAAGTGAGGGGAAGAATGGAAGTGAAAGAGAAGTATTGCCGGGAGAATGAAAGTGAGAGGCAGTGAATGAGAAGTGAGAATGTAAAAGAAAGGGAAAGTGGGAAATGAGAGTGAGAGAAAAAAAGGAAAGAAGGAAACAAGTGAGAGGAATAAAGAGTGGGAAACAAGGAAGAGAAAAGGAGTGGGAAACAAGGAAGAGAAAGGGAGTGTGTGAAAAAAGAGACAGAGGGAGGAAAAGGAGAATGGAAAAATGAGAGAGAGGGAGAAAAGGAGAATGGAAAACGAGAGAGAGGGAGAAAAGGAGAATGGAAAAATGAGAGAGAGGGAGAAAAGGAGAATGGAAAAATGAGAGAGAGGGAGAAAAGGAGAATGGAAAACGAGAGAGAGGGAGAAAAGGAGAATGGAAAACGAGAGAGAGGGAGAAAGGGAAAGTGGGAAACGAGAAAGTGAAATGTGAGAGAAAAGGGGAGAGAGAGAGAGAGAGAGAGAGAGAGAGAGAGCAAAGGAGAGTGGGCAAAGGAGTCTGAGAAAAGGAGAGAGGAGGGAAGAGAGTAAAAATGAAAGATATAAGGAGAACAAAAGAGGAAGAATAACAAAGGAAATGGTAAGTGGGGAAAAAATAACTAAAAAAAAAAAAAAATGAATATGAGGGAGTGGGGAAGGTAGGTAGACATAAGAGTGAAATGAAAAGAGGAAAAGTTGAAAGACAAAGACAGAATTCACTTGAGCTGTGACTGAGGCTGGAGGGTGGGTAATTTTAAAAGATGCATTGGTTGGTGCTCTGTCACTGTTCACATCATTCTGTCTCTGAAGACATTTATCTGTCATAAATCTGCCATCCTGATTCTTTAGCCACACCACAGCGCCCCATCATTAAGCAAGGTCAACACCTGCCAGACCACACACCAGTAAGGCACACTAACTTATTCATTCACACCCTTTACATCAGCTTATTTATTTATTTATTCATTCTCTTATCATCTCGTTCTTTTGGTCACTTACTCATCTTCCCGATTTGCTTCATCATTCATTCTCTCATTTCCATTACTCAGTCACTCATTTGCTCATTTAATTGCATTCTCATTCATAAACCTATTTCTTCATTCATTCACTCGTTCTACTGCCTATGTGCTCATTCACTGCTTGTTTTGCGACTTATGTGCTCATTCCCTCGCTCATTCAGCTCCCTACACATTCATTCACTCGCTCGTTCTGCCACCTACACACTCATTCGCTCATTCATTCTACCATCTATGTGCTCATTCAGTTCCCTACATATTCATTCACTCACTTGTTATGCTGCTTACACACTCATTCCCTTGCTTGTTTTGTTCCCAATGCGTTCATTCACACTCTTGTTCTGCCACCTAAGCGTTCATTCCCTCCCTTGTTCAGCTCACTAGGTGTTCATTCACTTGCTTGTTTGGCCACCTACATGCTCATCCACTCATTCTCTCATTTATGCACTCATTCAGATCCCTATGCATTCCCTCATTACTTCTGCTGCCTACACACTCATTTTCTCATTCTACTGTCTACATGCTCAGTCTACTGTCTACATGCTCATTTCCTCACTCATTCAGCTGCCTTTGTGCTCATTCATTTGCTAATCCTACTACCTTTGTGCTCATTCAGTCTACTTCCTATGCACCCATTTATTTACCTACCAATGTGCTCATTCACTTGCTCATTCTACACTCAACATACTCATTCTGCTTCCTATTCACTCATTCACCTGATTACACACTCCCTCATTTACCAACACAGACACTCATTTATGCAGTAATTCCTTTATTTTCTCACTCTCTTTTCAACAAGTCAGTCTACTCTGGATACAAATCAGAAAAAAAACCCCAAAAACAAGCAAACAAACATTTGCTCGATAACATAAAATGTTTCATGTATTTGCTTGTGGCCAGAAGAGTTAAAAGAAATAGCATCATTGTGCCAAAGTGTATTACTAAAATGGCACTTAGCTGGGATGATTGGCACAAGTATTAAGCCTTTGATTGTTTCAACACAGAATAAAACTGTCAGTATTAAGTAGCTTAATGGACAGGGTATCTGAAAACAGAACTGACAAAAGAATGCTAAGTTTTGACCATGAACCATACTTGAGGAAGGCATGAACCATAAAACATGTCTATACAAAAAAACAATAGAACTTGAGGTATCTGTCAATATTTCTAAGATGAGGTATTATGTACATTATTTACATTATTCGGACTATTGTCCTCATCTTTGTCGCCATATTTATTACAATGTTTCGGCCATTGTACGCTCCGGCCTTCTTCAGGTGGTTTGAATGTCGACCGTAACCCTTTATTTCGCTCAATGGCACGTGGAACTAGAACAGTCTACCCCAATGAGCGAAATAAATGGTTAAGTTTGACATTCCAACCACCCGAAGAAGGCCGGAGTGTACAATGGTCAAAACGTTGTAATAAATAAATATGGCAACAAAGATGAGGACAATAGTCCGAATAATATAAATAGTGTACATAATACCTCATCTCAGAAATATAGACAGATACTGAAAGGCTGAAACGTAATAAATATGGCGACAAAAATGAGGACAATAGTCTGAATAATGTAAATAAAGAACTTGAGGTTGAAAGGAGTTTTTAATCGCAAACCTAGTGTCTGTAGATCTCTTAAGACTGACACTGATTACAGTTGCCCAACTTATCAGTTGTGGACAAACAAAATAATGCAGCAAAACCTTTGTGACCAAAAGAGTTAAAATCTGAGCCATCTCAAGATCTCTGGACTAGAGGTTGGGCTGATGTTTTGCACACCAAACACAAACATTGTTTGCAGACTATGATTGACTAGTAGACACCATAATGACTGCTATCATGTAAGAGAGCTGATGAATTGCTTGTATAGTTCTCATGAAGGAATTCACAATTTTTTCTGCATTTAGTCGTGTTCTTCTGAAAATTAGCCAATCTGAACTCTTATTATATTGAACTGATGATACTCAATCTGCCTTCAAAAAATCTGAGTTTGACTGAAAGAACACTTATCTTGGTAACAGATTTACTGAACTTCATGTAAAATTTAAAGTCGGCATGTTGCTTGTAAAGGTTGCAGAGCTGTTCCAACAGTGTTACAAAACCTTGTGTAATAAGTGAATAAGATTAAGCAATAGAAAGTCTTTTGGCAGACTTGGCTGGGTACCAATGAGTGTGCAGGTGGTGAAATGAACAGTGGCACAGAATAAGAAATCAGAGAGGTGAGTTCAAATTCATGCTTAGTTTGTTACATTCATTTATGTGCAAATATCTTGGGAGAGAGATTTGAATTTCTTTCTCTTTCCTTCTAGCAATGGGTTAAACAGTAGGATTTGTATCTGGAAAAAATCATTGTTATATTCAGAAAATTGTTAATGCAATATTCATTTGCAATTATTATTTTTTAAAAATTATTCTTGCAATCTAAGAAATAGGTTACGCCTTTAAATAGCCCACAAATATTTGCTAAGCCATAAATAAAAAAAATCAATCAACAATATGTTTAACAGTACAGTTGTAGCACATACAATCTGAGAAATTACAATACATCCTTGTGTATATATATATATATATATATATATGTATGTATGTATGAAGAAATATAGTCTTAAGGTGTGCTATATTTATGGGATAAAGTGCTCAATATCAGAGATAGAGATATATATATATATATATATATATATATATATATATATATACACATACACACTGTTACATCCTTATGCAGCCCAAACCCCTAACCACACACACATTACACTTCGTGAACCATCTCTCTATAAACCTCTCTATAATATAGTACATTCACTCACTCTCTCTCTCTCTCTTTCAATCTGTCATAATAGTCGCTGACTACAAGATCAGTTAGGTCAGACAGGTTGATGACCTTAGTAACAGGTCCAAGCATAATCTAAAAACAGCTTCTCACACACGTGCAGAATCACGTGATCAAGTATAAAACATTGTCCAGGAAAAAAATCGGAAGGAATTACTTGGAACATGGACCATAACCAAGTAACATCTCTTTTTACCTGTTACCATCAAGCAAAGAAAATCACACAATGAAGGCAAGTTCCAATCCAATTCAACTCAACACACTATACTGCATATATCAAATGCACGGGTGAATTACTAAGCGTGATAATCATCTAAGACAGGCATGTATAACCCACTTAATTGGAGGCAGGCAATGATTTATACTGCGCCAAATCTTCCTACCCATATGATGAATACGATCAACTCTTGGGTTCAACTAATAACAGTGAAGAAAGAATAATATATAAAAAGATATTGCTGCATGGGCAAAATGAACTGAACTAGAAGGTAAAAAAAAAGAAATATAAAACAAAAGAAAGAGAGAGAAAAGGGTAAAGAGAAAACTATTTTATTTCAGGCAAATAATTAAAGCTAAGTGTGCTTTGACTTTTCATATTAAATATATCATGCATACATCTTTGCACAAAGAACTGTACAGCAAACATATTTCCGCACACAACCATGCATAAATGTTTTCATGTATCGTCTTATCATAATTAAATTTTATTAAATTATATATTGACATTTGTTGTTCATAAAGAAAAGTTTTTCATTTTGAATTTGTAGGTCTGATGAATTGGATCGTAATTACGATTCCAATGTAATAAATTATAACCATGGAATATTAGTGTTTAAGCCTTTTTATTATATCCTTACTCTGTCCTGGACATTGAGTTCTACCTGGATTCTATCCTCTTGAAAATTTTTTATATATATTTGTATATGTATGTAAGTATATGTATGTATGTATATATATTTTAGATATATATATGTATATGTGTGTATGTTAACCACTAATATTATCTATCTATCTATCTATCTATATATACACACACAAATATATATACATAGACAACTATATATATATATATATACACACACACACACACATACATACATATACAAATATTTAAATATATACACACACATATATGTAAATATATATAACACAGATATATATATATATATATATATATATATATATATATAATCTGGGTCATGCAGGTGAATTATTATTTTGATGAGGTAAGTGGTTTTAAATTTTTTGTAATAATTTAACATATACATATATGCACACACATATGCATGCACACACATATGCATACATACACATGCTTTCATCCTATCACCTCATATCTCATCAATAAATGTAAAAAAAAAAAGCAAAAAAAAAACTATATCACCTGTTCAGGTAAGTAACAACAAAAAGCTGTTACATTCATAGTCAACCTTGATAGGGACTCAAGTCTGAGAGTAAACGAATTTGCACCTAGTCAAGTGACAAAATACTGATATTCTTATGATATTTGACAAGAATCACTTGTTATCTGGTTACTAAAATGAATGATGTTCAAGATTTTAAAATACTTGAAATTTTGTTAATTACAAATTTAACGTTGTTTAAGCCCTCTGGTTATACCGACACCAAGTGTTGTGCATACAGTTATTGGTTAAATGTGATTCTATGAGGACCTGTTAAAATTTTATAAAGTGGAAACCAGCAGCTTAAAAATCTTAATTTCATCACTTGGTTTCTTTTACAATAATGTGTTGGAGGAGAAAAAAAAAAAACAAAACAAAAAACAAAAAACAAAACAATTTTTTTAAAAATTTTGTAGGATGTTTTTCCCAAAAATAAAAATGTTGCACAGAATATTCCTCCACTCAAAAAAGATAAAATAAAACTAAATTCTATAAAGTAAAGCTGTTAAAATTTTCAAATATGGCCTGAATCATGTGTTTACATTAAAATTATGGAAATGAATGAAAAAAAAAAAAAAAATGCACCAAAAATCTTTAAGGCAACAGAGAAAAGGTTTTAAATTAATTATTATATATATATATATATATATATATATATATATATATATATATATATATATATATATGCTTTTAACAATGCAAGGTACTTATAAGTGTGTGTGTGTGTGTGTGAGAGAGAGAATATAGAATTATACAATACACATTCATTCATGCATAATACAAAAGAAGTTTTACATACATATATGCACGCAATACACAATATAGATATTTTTTATTAAGCAATTCATTTATAAGCTTCCAGAACAAGTTCAAGCTCTACAAATCACTGATTGTATCCACCCTCCTCTACGGGTGTGAGACTTGGATACTCCTGGTTGAGGAAAAAGGATCCAGGTGTTTGAGAACAAATACTTGAGAAAGCACCTTGACATCTCCTACTGGGAGCACAAAACCAACAACTATGTACAGAGTCAGGTCAAAAGTTTTGTGAGCCTACAGGAATCTCTCCATGCCACTATTAAGTGTCGGAAGACGTTATGGTTAGGCCATGTCACACTACATGACAGCTTCTGCAGGACCATCATGCAAAGCCCTGCTGAAGGCAGATGCAAGTAGGATGGCAAAGGAAGAGCTGGTCAGACAACATCAAAAAGTGGACAGACATGACAATGAAAGCCACCAACAGATAATCCTGGAGGAGGTTGTTCGTTTCTTCTGCTCTTAGGTGGCCCTGATGATTGAAGCAGTCAAGAGAATGATGATGATGATGATGATTGAAGCAGTCAAGAGAATGATGATGATGATGAAGATGATGACAATTTAAATTTGACTAAATCTTAAACTCTGCTACATATATTAGTGTGACTGAAGGAACACGTGGAGAAGAAAAAGTAAAGTTCAAGAAATATACTGAATATGTTATTTTATACAGTATTCAAGAATTCTACCAATTCTAGTTTAGCTACATTGAAATATTGACAATGTTTAACCTTCATGCCTGAAGAGTGTAAAAAGGAGTTATTCCCTTGATAAAGGCGTTGGTTAGATCCAGTGACAAGACCCAAAGAGTGTGGGTTCAATACCTGGTTAAGGTGGTGAACTTGGAGAGGGGAATTAACAGGAGATAACTGATAACTGACATCCATTAGACATGACACATGGAACTAGAACAGTCTACCCCAGTGAGCGAAATAAAGGGTTCAGTTTGACATCCAAACCACCTGAAGAAGGCTGGAGTATACAACAGCCGAAACGTTGTAATAAATATGGTGACAAAGATGAGGATAATAGTTCGAATAATGTAAATAGTGTACATAATATCTCATCTCAGAAATATTGACAGATACCGAAGGGCCGAAATGTTGTGATAAATATGGCAACAAAGAGGAGGACAATAGTCTGAATAATGTAAATAGTGTACATAATACCTCATCTCAGAAATATTGACAGATACTGAAGGGCCGAAATGTTGTGATAAATATGGCAACAAAGATGAGGACAATAGTCTGAATAATGTAAATAGTGTACATAATACCTCATCTCAGAAATATTGACAGATACCGAAGGGCCGAAATGTTGTGATAAATATGGCAACAAAGATGAGGACAATAGTCTGAATAATGTAAATAGTGTACATAATACCTCATCTCAGAAATATAGACAGATAATGAAACATTTATTATTTACTATTTTATAAAGAAATATGAAAACAAGTTTTTTTTTTTATCCAATCTAATAAATAAATAGTGTTTAATCTCTTTCTTGACAATTCTCAATGATAAAGAAAATGTATACTGTATATACTCACGTATCATGCAACTTTTGAGGACCTAATTTTGAAGCTAATTTTAAGCGTGTCACATCGTACACAAGACATAAAATTAGAATATGTACAGCTGGCCTTGGGTACGCCATTGACCAAACTATATAGCCATTTACTGTAGTCAAAAAGTACAGTTGTATTTAAAATAAACATGATTTTGATAAAACTGATGTTTTACTTGTCTGTATCCAATAATGCATGTAATATTCACATATTAGTATCGTATTATAAAATATAAACATAGCGAATATGCATCTTTTCTATTGTTTATTTTTATGGTTGTATGTGTTTACGCAATGAGTATAGCATTACTAACAATACTTTTATATTTCTCTTTTACTTTTTTAACTTATTTAACTAGAAGATGGGATAAAAAGATAGAAGAAAAGACATTAGTCTATTATAATTTGGTCTCTCAAAAAAGATGATCACATAATACATGAAATATATGAAAAAATCATTTTTTATAAGTGAAAATTTGCGGGTAGCATAAGATGCAAGATTTTGTGTTACACAAAAATATATTGTATATCCAATTCCATATTTTTGTGTTTTATTAAAATTCTAATTATTACTTTTTAAAACAATAAACATTGCCAAGGGAGTTTAAAGTGTATACAATAATAGCAGTGTCAAGTTAATGATTGTCTTTTTGATACACTGTGTTTTTTGCAGGCACAAAGGTTAAACATTGCCAAAATATCTGTTTTCCATTTATTAGACCTGATAGAAAGATAGCTAAAGAGACATTAACTGGCTTAGATAGAGATATAACCAGACTAAGATAGATACATAGATATAAACAGACTGAGATAGATACATAGATATAAACAGACTGAGATAGATAGATAAACAGACTGAGATAGATAGCTAGATAGATATGAAGAGGATAAGATAAATAGATAGTGATGTAATGAATATGTATACATCTGTGTTCCCCCTCACAGTAATATGATTGGCTGGTGTCAGTCATAAATACAGATTGATGTGGAGGTATAGGGAGTACACCTATAGTCTTCGCCTATTGCCTACCACTACAACGAGGACCAGTCCATTATGGTTACCTGCTAGATTGTCCTACCCGGTTACAGTAGTCAATAACCACTTTGCTGCTTCGAACAAATATATCCCTTTCCGGAACATATTAGATAGATAGATATGAACAGGATAATATAGATTTGAAGAGGATAAGATAGATAGATAGATAGATAGTTTAGTTATATTGAAATGTCTTTCTTTTCTATTTATTAGACCCTAAAATTGAAGCAACCAATTAAGTACTAATTCTGACACAAAATGAAACAGCCTAAGTACCGCTATATATATATATACATATATATATATATATATATATATATATATATATATATATATATATATATATATATGCTCGTGCATGCATAACTAAAATGATCATTCAATTACCTATATATTCAATTATCGACATTGTGCTGATATATAGAAATTTATATATCATACACTCCTATATATGTACACATATTTCCTTTCACTCCAAACGTTATTTTATCAATACCCATGTTTATCAATACCCATTTTATAAACTCTGTAAATTACATCTTCTAGTAATTGTGCTTCTGGCAGTGTACAAACTTGAATCCCCCTTTGTAGGAGAAACCACCATCTGATCCAGTAAGCATTTTACCACTCAGGCACAGTGTTTATAAAAACAAGGGATCTACCCAAACATGGGTATCCACAAAATAACGTTTGGAGTAGTAGGAAATACTGTCAGAAAAGAAATCCTTACTTAATAGTCGACATATGTAGCTAACATCTTATGCAAAAGCATAGGGAAATATTTAACTGTAAGGATACAAAATGTCAGTTTATTTTAACATCCTCTGTTGAAAGGACAGAATAGAAACAAATAATTTATGTACCCCATCAGGTCAGATGGGTGTGATTCTAAATCTTTTGTCTGGAATGATTGTGTTTTGTCTTCAAGGAAGACAGAGAATTAATAAAGAATGGTTACTGGAGCGCTATCGTCCAGGCAGCACCTCCCCATTGTATTAACAAGATAGAGACAGGAGTAATTTTTGATACCTGCAATAACAAAACACTGATAAAAATCAAGCTATTTTTTTTTTTAATGAGTAATGAATGTGATAATTTGCACACAAAAAAATGGCCTTGTGTCACATTCAGTTCTTGTGAGTGAATAGTAAAATACCTGATTGTTAAAAGCATTTAATATCACAGAGCTTACTTTACCTAACATGCCTCAGAGGAAAGCACAGGCAGACATTTAGCTGGTAGAGTATAGTGTTTTAGTTTGTTGCAGTGTCTGCTGGTTGGACAGGGTAAGGACAATCACTTTATGCACTGTGTTGGGGCAGATGGATATTGGACCCTTTTGTTGAAAATCAATCAAAATAAGAGAGAACAGTTAGTAGCAAACAAAACGAGAAGGAAAGACAGAGATGTGTTAAAGCCAAGCAGGTTAAGTAAAGTACATGACAGTGTTATGATATTCTGTGACAAGGCCACAAAAAGCAAGGTAAAATGCTGTGGGGGTCCAGTGTACCCTTATTAGAGAGACAGAGAGCAGGAAGTGGTGGTGGGGTCACCACTATCTTGAGAGTAGCAAAAGCAATGTTGCCATAACACAGATGCATTTTGATATATAAGAGTGGGGTAGAGGAAAGGGAAAAGGGGAGAAAGAGGGAAAAAGAAAAGAAAAAGAGGAAATAAGGAGAAGGGGAAAGAGGTGGGAAAAGAGAGAGAGGAAGGAGAGAAAGTGAGGGAAAGAAAAAGAAGGCAAAGATGAGAAAGTGGGGAAGGCAAAGGGGAGAGAGAGAGGGGGGGAAAAAAGAAAGGAAAAAGTAGAACAATTTTTCTTCCTAACCACATAAAGCCAAAACAGACATGAGTTCTTGTGACGTTTTTATGCCATTGAGATGTACCTGTAAGTATTTGTACATTTTTAATACTTATATTAAAACTGCTTTTACTGATATACTGGTTTAATACAAGCAACAAAAGACAGGAAGCTGAGGAGAACCATAATCACCTTTATTCTGAAGCATAGAGGAAGAGTATAAATGTTGCTGATAAAATTTCTCTTACTTCACTGAATATCAATGAAATCTTAATTAAAAACAAAAGACTTGTATGTATTTATTGTTTCTGTATCAATGGCTACATTTCTTAAAAAAATGCCTGAACTGATTGATTTCAATCATATTTTCTAAGTTATAAATACACTGCCCAACTTTAAGTCACCTAATTCTCAGGTAAAATATAATAAATAGGGAAAATTGAGTAAAAGTAATAATTATAAGTAAAAGCTTTGAAAAATTGCTTTCTTATTGGGCTCAAGCAGCAGGCAGCAAACGCTATTCAAGAAAGTGGAGAGAAATTGTCATGATAAGAATGAAGGGGAGGTAACTGCATTTTACAATGATATGGATAGGATTTGCATTTATCTTTCTTTAGTCACATGGTTATTTTCAGCTATGTTTGATCTTTTTCAATTCTATTTTCATTTTTCCATTTTGAAAGTTATTTCCTAATGTATATAGTTCTCTCTCTCTCTCTCTCTCTGCAAGACTCTCCTAACAGATTGAGCCCTCGATCACTGGTATGTTTATTTAAAAATAAATATGCAAAAATTCACCTTCCTCTCTATTGGGTGTCAATAGCTTAGGGGTAGAATATCTGACTGATGCCAAATCAGCCGGGTTTCAATCCCGGCTTCAAGTGATTGGATGTCTAGCCACACTGATGTGCTGTGATACAACAAAACAGTCTCTGGATGGATATATATATATATATATATATATATATATATATATATATATATATACATATACATTTTTAAAATTTCAATAGCCCCTCGATGATGAGAACCAAATAAAATACCATTTTGATTCTTATCAGTCGAGGTGCAATTTAAATGGAAAACTCTTTTGAGTGAGTTAAAATGTTTTGTCTATATGCAAAAAATTATAATAAAAAATAATTATTGCTCTACTATCTGTATGGAATCCTCTTTTGAATTAATGCTGTGAGCATTAGAATTTATATATTATTTTCGTTCTCACTGCATTGGATATATATATATATATATATATATATATATATATATATAAAAGAAAATGAGAAAAATCAGCAGACAATTAATTGCTGAAAACTCCTGACAAGTGGACCAAACAATTACAAAAACTTCATTCAAGAAACTCTGGAGGTAGGGTGTTGAATATAACATCAATCAACTAAGTGACAAATTTTATATTTATATTAATCCTATATCTGTGTGTGTGTGTGTGTGTGTGTGTGTATGCATGTGCGTGCATGCGCGTGTAAGAGCTGGCTACTTGTATCTGCAAGTATGGCTGTCTGTTAGGGGAGCAAGCAAATCTTGTATTTGTTTAACACCTACAGAACACAACTTTGGTTTATATTGTAACTTTGTGGATTGGATGCTGGTTAGTTTCTGGGAGACAGCACATCATCTGTCATGATTAATTAACAGTTTGAATAATGTCAGTACGATCAAACCCTTGGTCACGATGGCTTGTGACATTGTGCTAGCACAACCATCAACAAACAATTGTTTACCCAATTTCAATCACGACTGATGGCATGATTTTCAGGATCTTTCAAATCATATCACATGCTGGGATCATCTCCCAAAGCTGAGCACATCACCTTCCTGACAAATTGATCATAGTGAGATTTGAACCTAGGCCTAATTTTTGGAAAGCATACATTCTAATCTCTATCTATAAAAGGCAGGATGTGTGTGTGTGCAACAAATGCACGACTGAAATTTTCGACGGATTTGCACCAAAATTTACATACACATGCTCCAAGGCCAAGACCAACTTTGCATTTCCCAACTCCCATCGATAGTGGAAATAATAGATTTTTTTCATGCTTCTACAGCGGTTTCATGTAGTTTGCGGCCATTTTCTACTGACCAGAGTGAGAGCCAATAGCTGGCTGCCACGAATAGCCAGGAAGATTCTATTGGCCAGTGTGAGAGCCAACAGCTGACTGACACGAATGTTAACTAGCTTGCAAAAATAAATAAATCGATAGCTGCATTCGTCACAAGTGGGAAAAATTTAAATCTGCATGGCACTTTACTCCAATTGGCTCATTCGCTTGCTTAAACTCAACGTTGATTCTGATTCCACAGAACTGGGTTAGGTGTAAAAAAGTATTTGTTGTTAACATTCTTTTTTTTTTTTCTTCAGTTTTTCCAGTTACGAGTCCTTTTTTTTAAAGCTGATCGTTTTGTGTTCATTTTGTTTAGTTCTTTTTTCGTAACAGCTTTAATGTTTAGTATAGAGCTTAGAAAAAATTCGCAGTGTGAGATAGGCAAGAAGTAAGGCATGTAGCAACATCAGTATGGCAAAGGGCACTCCTTTAAAGGCAAGGAAGGGCAAAGATATTTTAAGTCAAGTGATAGCGATTGCTGTATGAGTCGTACGATTTTTGAGTCAAGCACAGGCAATACTGCTAGTTATATATATATATAGGCCAAATGTGAGCAAACATTGATTTTTTTTTAATACTGTGCTCAATGATTTTCAGACAGAGCCAGAGTATAGTCTAAATAGTTTGTTTTTTTTATCTTACTAAAAATGTTACAAGCATATACTCTATTAAAAGTTTCAGTCATAAACTTATCAACTGCTTAAAAATTGGTCACTTCCATTATTTGCATGTATTTTATACACACAGTAACTATGACCCCTCACAGTAGGAGTAATTCAATGAATAAATAAATTACACCCATGTCTGTCTCTCTCTCTTATTCACTATGTAATTTTTTCTTTAATGTTCAAATGTCATGGTCAACTGCACATTAAAGTGTGAAAACTGTTCTTTTTATAGGCATTTTAGGTCATTATTACAGTATTTGTAGCTGATTCTATCATGTCAGCTTAAATTTTTTTAATGTAGATTGCTTTGAGGATCTGTAGTTTTAATTTATTATTTTCTTGGTGTAGGATAGTTGTGTTATTTATTGTATTTTTCTATACTGTGAATGTGGACAGGAATGTTAGTGTAAATGTCTTGCAATAGACAAATAGTCATGTGTAGTGTAAGATGCCTTGATAATGTAGTTGTATGTCTAACATATACATTTGTTTTTTTTGTCAGAGATACATTATCCCAAGGGACATTTGAATTGATATATAATGTTGGTTCTATGTAATGCATCAGTTGGTTGGGAGGAGTTATTGCAAATAATTGATTGTATTGTATTTTGTATGATATGATTAATTTTATTTTTTTATTAGGATCCATGGTAGATATATTACTATGACATCTCAACATAAAAGAAAAAATTACATAGTAGATAATTTTTTCGGGTTTTAATGAATGCTAAAGCAAAACTGTCTGCTGTTGCATTTAAATGCAAAAAGAAAAAAATCAGTAATGGATAGCTACACATAGTTTTTCCTAAAGTTGCACCCCTGATGATGATCTCAGAAAGAGATGGAAAGTACTTGGAAAATAAAAGCGATTTTTACTGTTACAGTGCATTTCTTGCATCATTTGATTATAACTCACAGAAAAATATCAATGAATATGAACAGATTATGCTAAAAATAAGCAGAAATAATGTTTATAATTTATTTAATCAGAGATGCATAAAAGAGAATTTGCTGTGTAAATACACAAATATATATATATATCAAATAAATAAATGTAAAAAAAAGTATATGCAAATGTTCACATCTTTTGGGGTAAATAAAACAGTTCTCAGTGTAAAATAACAGAGCTATTAAGTATATATTAATAAATATACATAATACCCCATGCTGAGATCAGTGCATAAACTCCAAGTTGTACTGTCGGAATGGAGGGGTATATACTTATATGTATGATAGACTCTCCCATCGAGTTCAATGTATGAGGTTTCAACGATCATAAACTAATTATCTGCATGCCTATGATGGGCATGACTTGAGACCGGCTTGAGAATTGCACAAAAGACCACAAACAGTACAGGAGAATGTATTGTATCCAACTGCAAGCAGGAACACTGTTAGCTGTCTTATTTTGCTCTCATGTTTCACATAGTTGACTGATGCTTGCTTCTTGATGGTGCATTATTCCTGAATGGCAGCAAGAACGATACTCTGATCTCTTCATAGCTACCTCTTCAAAGGTCTTGAATGGAATGTTGACACAAGAAAGGTTGCTTTTCAGTTTATCTTTATACTTGAGCCAAGGTTTATGACCACTATGGAGTTTGCTGTAAAAAAAAACTTTTGAAATGCGATCATCACTCATCCTTGCTACATGAGTTGATGGTGTCTGTTGGACTGAGGTCTAGAAAACTTCTGAGCACTTTTGTTCAAAAGTAAACCAGTTCCGCATGATGGAAAATCAACAAGTGAATTCAATGAATGATAAAACACAAACCACCTGTTTGAAGATCTGCATGATTCCTTTGGAGCCACATCATCAAGTTGCATGCCAGACCTGGATCAATATACAATCTGAGGTAAATTGATGACCGAGTCCAGTGATTTCTCTCTCTCTCTATTATCTCTCCCTTTTGTCTATCAATTTCTCTCCTTCTCTTTTGCTTTTGATTACTTTCTTTTCTTCTCACCTATCAATTTCTCTCCATTTCACTTATTGATTTCTC